CTCCCCCAGCTGCGGATAAGCCGTGGGACGAACGCCGTACTGCTCCTGGTGGTGGCTCCGCACTCTCCCACATGGCGGTGGCACAGAAAGGGCCTATTTACCGTAATCTGCGGGTGTACCTTTGTGATTGCGTCTTGGCATGTTTATGCACAAGCAGGGAGGGGAGGGGGGCCGTCGATTAGGACGAGATCGACCACTAGCTCGCTCGCTGGCTCTCTCTCTTACGCACACTCATGCATCTGCCCTTCGCGGACTCGCCCCCTCTGCGCATCCGCCTGTCAGTTGATTTGAATGCAATAAATGCGTGTGTGTGTGTGTGAGTCATGCCTGCTGTGTGTGTATGTTCAATCGGGCGTCTGCATGCCGTATGCTTGTGTCCGGAAATATGTCCATTTGTGTTACAGTTCGCGTGTCCGATGATTCACCCCAGCAGCGCCCCTAGGCGTGCTGCGCAAATTTTTGCTGTCATCTCGCTTTCGCTTCGCCTAAGTGGCATCCACTTTGAGGATGGGCAATCCTCTGGAAGGGTTTCCTATGTGCGTGTGCAGAAAACTTGCTTTTTTCACTGGGACATTATCCCAGTTCAAATTTGTTTCGGACCCTATAGTACCTGCAAAGTCGAGAACTTTTTATCTCGTTGTGACCTGTTAGATAAACGATCATTTCGTGCCCTGCAGGTTCCAGCTGGGATGGCAAAAGTGGCGAGTTAGGCACTGATAGCCTTTCCGTGAACGGATATTTCGTATTTCCCCGTCGTTTTTCCTGCAACAAGACACGCCTGGGAGGGAGCGGTTACTAAGTGTCGTCTTTGGATTGAATGTCTGGAAATTTTGGATTCAAAAGTTGCGTAGAATCTCCGATCGTTTCAGGATAGTTGTGACAAATATATCAAGGACATTCTCATCGAAGTTGGTCGAACATCAGTGCCGTTAGTCGTCGCAATGGCCCTCTAGCACTGCCGCTTTACAATGACGACTCCATGACCTTCCCATAACATTTTACGCCTGCCTCCATAGAAGTAAAGAAGG